GGGGGGGGTGTGCCCAGGTGTAAATGGTGCATGCATACACATGAGAGCTCCTGCATATTCAATGAAAGGAGCCAGAAATAGTGACATGAGTTAGGTTTTTCTTATTTATTTATCCAACTGAATCTTGCAACTACACCATTTAGTCATGTAGCCAGACTTTGGTTATCAGATATTTGGGATCAACTTCCAGACTTTGCAATGTCTAAACTTTGATGTCAAATTACAAACTTCACATAAATCTGACATATTTATAAAGTTCACTAAGATTAACATGTCAAAACAAATATAACAATATATGACATAATTTATTTGCCATGAATTAAGTTTATGATATTGAATTAAATGTGACCATGCCCAAGTCAGTGAAAGTGTGTTCCCTACCCCTAGACCCCAGAGGGTTAATAGGTAACTAATTAATAATGGTAAGACCACTTGAGGGGGCAAAAATGAGTTATTAACTCATTTACTACTCAAGAACAAATTGTGGATTTCCCCATGAAATATATAAACTGTCCTGATCGATTAATGATGAATGAACATGGAATCACTACATAACAAATACTTAGTTACTGATGAATTAATGCAATAAGTAAGCATGTACTGCTACATTATTCATATCCCCTCAAGTAAAGCGCTACCAAATGAAGTTGGTCACCATTTGTTGCTATAACGCTGGATCAATGTTTCCCAACCCAGTCTTCTGGGACCCACATACAGTCCCCGTTTTTGCTCCCTCCCAGCTCACTGCCACACAATCCACACTTATTGTGGCTTCAATAGCCGATCACTGTAATTCTGGGGTCTCCGATGTTATTTACAGTGCGAGCTACTTCTACGAAGAAAATAACATGGGGTGCTACATGAACTATAGCTAGTGATGATAAAGGCTGCCACCCAGGGGTGTGTGTGTGTGGGGGGGGGGGTTGACATTGATGATGAAAGGATTCAATTCACCTTTCATGTCCACTCTGCAGCATGGCCATTGGCAGAGGCGGACATTTCAGGTCCAGAAAGTAAAAATCCAAACCAGGATTTTGTTTCAACCAACCAGTTGAGCATAAAGAGTCACGTTCAGCGAGTACTCAACTGGTTGGTTGAAACAAAATCCTGGTTTGGATTTTTACTTTCTGGACCTGAAATGTCCGCCTCTGGCCATTGGGAGCATCGTACATCATGTAGCTGTTCTGTACTGGCACTGACTTAAACATGTTATTTCACTGTCTTGGACTGTATGTTGTGAAAGTGCGGAATTCACCATCCAAGACGAAGTGGAACTGGCTGGCTAAGTATGAGCAAAGTTTAAAAAAAAAAAAAAAAAAAAAAAAACATAAACAAATGAACATAATTGGTCCTATTTCTAAATAGAGTTACAGGATATTCTCATTTGGCTCCCGGCATCCTGCTGGTACCTCACAAGGGACACCCTGCTTACCACTACTCTGAGTAATAGGGGGTGTCTGCATGCTTTTGGCTGTACACTGTGCCTGTGTAGCCTTTGTAGGTACCTAGAGGTTAGGCAAAGTGCTTGTGCATGTGTGTGTGTTGGTGCGTTAGTGTGTGAGCCCAAGCTCGTTTGCTTCATCATCAGTGGACAGGTTCTCCAGTGAGGCACATACAACTCACCTCAAAGTGATGCGGGCCGTGAAACCACAGTACAAAACGATGGTGCTTTTGATCAAACCCTTCAAAGAGTGCCGATCCATTTGGGACTAATCTTTATTGCAAATTGTTGTGGTGTTTCTCCTATTACTAGTTTATATGTAGCCCTGAGAGTTGAAGTAACATTTTTAAGCTGCTAAAACAAGTTGTTCCTTCATTTGAAGCAAATAAAACTGAAATGTTTTCCTTTTCCATAAGCAAATTAAACTAGATAATACGGCTGGTTTCTATAACCCTCTCTCGTGGCTCCGCCCATTCAGCCAAACCATTAAACGCCAGTGCCAGGTGGACCGTGCCAGGGTGGGTTTCGAGATGTTCGCTCACTGCCCCAATGATTTCGAAACCGTGTCAGCGATCGAGGGCAGAAAAACGTGCGCTGAAAGTGTTAGAGGAACACCATTAGCACCATTAACACCAGTAGCATAGTTAAGCATGTTGGGGTCCCCCACAGCCACACTCAGCATCATGGCACACGAGCATTTAAACATCCGGTAACAATTTAAAGCATATTCAAGGGGGGGGCTTTAATGCACGGGCTTACCCAGGCATACCCAGGGGCCTCCGCTACAAAGGAGCCTCAAAAACAGCCCCCCCAGGGGCGACAATTTTAACTATCACCAACTGCCCCCCCCCCACAGAGGTGGATGACTTAGGGGCCCCTACACTGTTTCACGGCTTAGACCTCAACTTCCTGAAATCAGACCCCAAACTTTCTCAGCTGTGAGAGGACTTGTGCAAATGGAACATACAGCAGCATTTGCTGCTCATCATTGTCCCCATAGAGAATCATGATGGGATGCCTGAAACCCGACAGGAATGTGCGATAAACACCTCTGGTCACTGCTCCCGTTCTGGACTGCCTTGCACTCGTGGTGTGTGGGTAGCAATGAAGAGACTGATGGAAGACAGCGTGGCCTCACACCCCCTAGGACTGAGGGATTGACCCTTACAGTATGTGGGAATGTATATATTACATTCTAAGAACTAAATACAATGTGTGAGTGTGTGTGAGTAAGTGAGTGAGTGAGTGAGTGTGTGTGAATGGTGCCACTGGTCTCCAATCTGTGAATCTCCATGACCCTCTTCTGGGTAAGTAGACTATCGATGGATGGATGGATGGATGGATGGTGCAGTACTTAAATCTATATGATATTATGAAGATGCTTCAAAAAGTCTACTAAGCTTTTTCAATGTTATAAAAAAATTAGCGGTGCCATCATTGGTCCGTGAGCTGAAATCGTAAATGTCACAGATTGCAGGGTCATGGGACATGCACTGGCGTGGTCTGGGGGGCGGGTCATGCCTTCAGCAGATTCCGGTGTCAGTCAGACCATCACTCCAAATGGCTCCCCAATCTCGGTGACACAAACGAGCAAAGGAGGAGGAGATCCAGACGCAAGTCTATTTTACTTTTAATATAAAACAGTATGATTCCAAAATAAATAGTTGTACTACGTAATCTAACAAAAAAGATGTTAACATTTTAAAATACATTTACAAGAAATAAATATATTAATGTGAAAAATGTGATTTTACAAGACAGTCGCTGTAGTTCCTGTAATACAGTTCTGAGGCCAAGAAGAGCGAATGTTGCACACAGGGTCATCATCAGCCACGCCCCCCCCCCCCCCCCCCCCCCCCCCCCACACCCAGTAACAGCAGGGGCTGCACTTTAGCCTCAGTGCTGAGAGGGCAGCAGGGCAGCATAAACTGCCTGGGATCTGGTCTCCTAGGATGTTTGGCATGATCTCCATTTAACATTTCTCCATTTAAGCTTGAACCCCAACAGACTATGATGGTCCTCGCGATGTGACAGTGCATGTGCATGAAATGCACATATCATGCAAGCCTGTCAGGGCAGCAGAACGGCGCTGCCTTGCGCGTGTGGAGTTTGCATGTTCACCCTGCGTGGCGGCTTTCCTGCGGATCCGCTGATTTCCTTTCACTGTCCAAAAACATGCAATTTAAATGAACTAGTGACCATGTGTCGCCAAGCGTACGCCCTGCAGTGGTTGGTTGATTCCTGCTTCACGCTAATTATAATTTATTAAATCATATTATATGATGTTGTATTACATTATATTATATATAAATGATTAATTGATGAATTGTCAGATTAATCGATTATTGATGTAATCGCTAGTGACCGCCCTAGGTCTAATGTGACGCGATGTTTCTGTATCAGGCGGAACCAAGGGCAGACCGGCCCTCTAAATGCTCTGCTGACTGCCCCGCTGCCCAGCCCCCAGAGCCGTCGTCGGAGGGTCAACACAGGCTGCATGAATTAAAAGCTCAAAACAAGCACTGTGGAATGTGAGAGCATCTTTCGTTATATATGTCTATATATATATATAAAAAAAAAAACCTCTACAATTATTTTTTTTCAGGGCAAAACCACATTGACAAGATAAAGTAAAATAACATTAAAATAACACTGCATATAAATACATCATATTAAATAAACGGAATATTGAAAATACTCTAATATTATTTATAAATTAAAGGTACTGCACTACAAAAAGGGGATAGTAGATCTGTCTGTACTCAGAGCTTCTGGTACTCTTTAGAGCAGTAAGTGCATGGATCTTTGGAAAAATAACTTAATAAGCAGATTCTATGTTTCTCAGATGAAAGTCGGCATCTACTGTCAGCTCTTTGTGTCAGTATCTACAGAGTGTTCCTCTTGAGTTAGAACAGCGTCCTACTGTCTGTTAGTGTGTATATCCCGCTTCTCTTCACACCGTCAGATATCCTGGGAGCTTTGCCTTCCTGGTCCTCTGCTGTGAACATCTGTGCGGCCACAAGGGCACTCGGCGCCCCTTCCTACGCCAACCCCCCCCCAATCCCCCGACCGCCTCTGGTCAGCTTGCCAAACTGCCCAGGTCCATATCCAGTGGAGTGGTGCATTAAACACATTTCAGGACTGCCAACCACTGGTCAGCTGCAGGGCTGGGAGCTGGTCTGCGTTCATGCAGTTCATAGCAGCGATTCAATGTCTCTTGTACACGTGTGTGAAAGTGTTTTGTACACACACACGCACAGACACGATGGGCTCTCATTTTTCACGTTGGGAGTCCATCCATCCACAGCCAAAAATGTTTAGTTCTTACATCAAAAGTGCTGTATAGAAAATTCCTTCATTTTTGTATCCTCTTCGTCCACTTTCATCTCCTAGGTTTCTCACATCTGAAACAGGACAAAAGCAGATTAGAACATCGCCACCAATCAAAGCCCAGCTCCAGTGAGCCTCTCCACCAATCAAAACCCTTCCCCAGTGAGGCCATTAATAAAAATTCTACTTTACTGAATTCCTCGGTCAAATCACCCATAAATAATCCACCAGTCAAAATCCTGCTCCAAGTGAGCCTCTCCACCAATCAAATCTCCACCCCCTGAACACAAGACTGAACTCTCTTTTGGAGTGAGTGAGGAACCACAAGTCCAGAAGTGAAGATCACCATGACTGTAAGGGGTACCATTCCCATGGTGAAAAAGGGGTTAACTGGACTGCTGAAGCAGACTTGACCTGACTTGATAACTTGAACATAGTCTGTGACTCTGAGTCAACAATCACACCCAGAAAAAAGTCCGGGAATGCACTCTAATGCTCGAAAGGTTCAGCACTGACAGTACGCACTCGACAGAAACACACGCCAGTTCACGCCAGACAAAACACCACACACAGGATCCATTCACAGGGACATGCAGCAGACAAAACATATAGCCCACCACGGCACAGCAAACACACACACAGATACTCATCAAGAGCCGGCATGTTCTGCGTATCCTTCAACGACCACCAAACGGTTCTGACCGAACTTGGGGGACTAGCAATGTAATGCAGTGTTTTCCAACCAGGTCCTTGGGGACACGCAGGCAGTCCACGTTTTTGCTCCCGGGAGCTGGAGGGGGGGAGCAAAAAAGTGGACTGTCTGGCAGGGAGTTGCAAAAACGTGGTCCGGCTTGTGGTCTTTGACGACTGGGTTGAGAATCACTGGTGTAAAGTGTCACTGATAAATGGTGACACACATCAAACTTTAAGGTAGTTAACATAAAAAAAATTTTTAACGACACTCATTACTGTGGAGTACCAGGATTTATTCTCCTGAATAAAAACACATACATACATACACACACACACACACACACACACACACACACACACGACAGGACAGAATGCTCACACCCCAGCACAGACCAGCAAAATAAAAACAGCTCTCCCATAATGCTGTGCGGCAAAGGCTCACTGACACACAGGAAGCTCAAGACAGACAGAAGCAAGCACATCTGTCCAGAGGTGTGTGCCCAGTGGAGAGTGCGATGGGCTGTGTCAGGCCCCCTCCAGAAAGATATTTGGTGACTCCGCATTTACTGCACGGTAAAATGTGTACGTTTGGACCTATAGCGACGAGGGACTTCAGAATTCCCCACTCACACCCCTACTGTCTGTTACTTTTTTGTTTGTTTTTTTAATTTCTACTTGGAGCAGGACCCCAGTGCTTTTACAGCCTGGGACAGGAAATATTCAACAGTGCTTACAAACTAAATAATAAGCAACAAGGGTCGCCGCTCACGCCCCCGAAAGACGAGGGACCAGACGGCACGCAGTCACGGGCGCCTCCGATCACACAGCACGTCACATTAAGCAGAAATGACACCCAAAGCATAAGTTACATGCTTAAAGGAGCGTTTCCAGGAACAAACCTGCACGTTCTTTGGTTTAACTCAAGACTCCTGGCCTTGCAGTCTAACTCTGAGTTTTTGCAGGAACACTGACAGGTGAGGGGGTCCTGCACAAAGCGCCTCCTTTTCTCTGAGCAAGGGGCACAGTGGCTGCAAAAAGGCAAAAAAAGGGGGAGAGAGAGAGAGAGAGAGAGAGAGAGAGAGAGAGTCTAAGCAGGAGAACTTGAGAGGAGGAGCAGGGGGCCAGGGGCACTGCGGCCTCCATTGGAGTGGTTAGCCAAAACACCCGCACACAACGTTGAAGTGAGGTTAGTATCGCAGAGGAAGAAAGCGGGTCAGTGTTAGAGTAGAGGAGCTGTCACACAAACACACACCGCCTATCTAATCTCATGCTCACACACACAAAGCACGGCCACAGACACCACACAGTCTCCCCAACTGCTGCCCACACACTGGCCATCACTAACGCCCCCTCTGGTTCAGTGCACACTAGCTCTCTACTTTCTACATGGGGGGGGTGGGTATTCCCAGGGATCATTAGACCTGTGCCCAGCTGAGTGTTCTCAATGCGAAGACTGTATACTTCACTGTAAACATGATTTTATCAGGATATTCCCTCACACCAAAATCTGTCACAGACAGACCCTGGGGGGCCCTTGGGTGTACAGGCACAGCTGCCAGACGGGGTTACGCAGCCAGGGACGGGACACCTGGTCCACTTCGGCCATGTGACCAGCCCGACGCAGTGAGCCGGTCTAAGACGTTCAGCCCTTTAAGGCGACATGAGAAAATGCAACCGGTTTGCTATGTTGTCCCCTGAAAAACACCACATCCAGACAGCCTGGACCTCAATGTGGCTGGTCGACAGCGGTACTGCCTGCTCCTTACTGGTTCCTCCAAAGCATGTTCATCACTAGATGAAAAGAGGACAGGAACCACAGGGAGCAGGAGCTGGGAGGAAAACAACCTTCCGTCTCCCGAGAGACGGAGCCCAATGCAGCTGCTGCCTAAAATCAGCTCTCCGCTGACTCAGGAAAAGGAAACGGTGAACCAATAACCTGCAGGCTGACCCACCGGAAAACCGGGTGGCGAGAGAATAAGGCCTCGATGCCCAGCGACAGAGGCTTCCTGCGACGCTTATCATTCCAACAGACCGTTCCGCACACCTTCCGGAGAGTGTCTGACAACTGCATGCATGCAGTGAATATGCCCCCACCCCTGGCACCCAGCAAAGCCTCATCACACCTGTTGTATTAAAGGCCAACAGAATTCCTTAACAGCCCATGAAAGGTTGGAGCTTAACAAGTCGAGAACAGCTAATATGCTAAACTGCGCTAATACAATGTTTCAAAACCGCACAGGGCCCTGGCTCCCCTACACCCGGCCCCAGACAGACTGCATGGCCCCAGTGTGATTGTCCCTCTGACATAACACATAGATTAGAGCACAAAACCTTCAATCAAAACAAGATTTAATACTTACTTTTCCTTGTTCTCTTTCACATCAGTCTTTGGTCTGAAAGGATAAAGGAGAAAGCCTGAAATTAGCCAGGGTAGACAGACTGAGTCACTATGCGTGAGAAAGTGGCGGGCTGTGGGGGGGCGGGGCCTGACGTGGGCGGTACTCACCTGCACTCACACTTTTGGTGTTGCGTGAAACTTCTCAGGTACTTCTGCTGTTGCACCCGCTGCTTTATTCTGATGACCTGTTGCGACACACGGGGTGGGTCAAAGACACGGACATGCAAACGCCACCTCAAACTGCTGACTAACTCTTCCTTATTTACCACAGAGCTTTATTCTGACTACAGACAGGTAACTACCAATCACTGACTAGAAGAGGGTTCTGCTCATTGCGGTACCACTATAACGTCCTTGGTTTGTGTATGGAGATTAACCACATGGTCTCACATGCATAAGTACTAGACAAAGAGGAAGGAGGAGACAAAGATGGGTGAGCTTGGCCCTCGTCTGCCCTTGTTCCTTAGCCTCTTCCAGGCTCATTCCCCTGAATGATCACTCGCTCCCTCGCTTTCTAATGCCTCACCTCCATGGTCGTGTTGTAAGTTTCCGTGGGAACGCACTCCATCGCCTCATCGTTGCAGCAGCCCCCACATCGCTTGAGGGCAACGCAGGATGGGATGTACGTGACCTCCGTCTCATCTGGGTACTCTAAGAAGATGTCCACCAACACTTCCCTCGGTTGACACAGACTTTTATTGAATACATCCATGAAAGGAACAACTGCAGGAGAACAGAAAGGTTAGGTTAATATCCATTAACCGCCATCATCATCACTACCACCACCATTAGAATCACTCTTGTGAAAAATCCCATCATCACCTAATGAGTTACAGCCATATTTCTCATAATATTTAAATAACTTCGGATTTTGTCATGGTTAAGCTTCCTAGCGGAACTCTGCCGGCCAGCTGAGTCCTGTCCTAGTTCCTTTCTAAACCCTGTGATCAAGGTTGTTCTTTTCACTTGGCTTGACAAGCAATCCGACAGGGTAGCATCACAGTGGCCCTGATCCTCACCCAAGGATGGACAAGTGACCCCAATGACCGACACCACCTTCAATGTTTGTGGTTCAAAGATCAATGACGGGCTCTTAAGGTATTTCTGGGGCCTCCCTCCTCGAATAGTCCGAAAACAGGCAGCTGAGGTCGGCTGGAGATTCTAAACTGGTCCCACTGTGTAACCGTCTGGCAGAATAGAAGTGGGTGTCCAAAAATGCAGTGATGCCTCAGCCTAGATGTGCCTCCCCTAAGTCTACTTCCCATAATATTCTTCAGATGGCTGATTTTTGCTACATGAAAATGGATGGAAATCTAGGTGGTCTGGCGAAGCAAAACTATTTCTGGCCACTAGAGGTCAGCAGACCAGTGTAACGGCGTTACTAAAGGGAAACCCTTCGACAAAGTCCTAACACCTTCAGTCTCACACAAGGCGAACGTACCTTCATTTTTGCTCTTCTCTCTGTCCTTTGGTATGTGGGCAGCCTGCGATGGACAGAAACGGCACATGTCCAAATTAATTCCTCCAAAACACCGCACATCCTTTTTGTTTCTAATTTCATTTAGTCCGACCTCTTCGTGTTAGTCACTATAAAATATAATAATACCTTTAAAAATGAGAAACTTTAGGTACAAGCTTGGTCGTTAAACAAAAAAAGTTTCAATGATCATTTATGCCTGTAAAAATACCTTGCACGGCATGGTTTATGTAAGTAGGCCTACACACTATGAAAAATCGTTGAATGCAAAATCCATAATAAAGAAATCTGTTTTAACGCCTTTCTTTCTTCCACAACAGTTAATAATTCTATTTATAATTAAGTGTTAAAACATCAAATAGTGACAAACTAAATGCTATCGCACACCAAATAGTCACAGTATTCTAATATCAAGCACATTTTTAAATATCAATACGGCCACGTAATTCAAATAATCGTGAGTTAATAACTCTTTTAAGCGACTTAAGATAAATCTTACAGCCTTTTATGATCCTATGGTATAGTAACTCGTGAATTATACATCACTCGTTTAACAATCGCGGATGCAGGCCCGTAAAGCCGGCTTCCCCCCGATTACAGCCCTTTACAGTCGACCGGGCCCCATCAGCGCGTATGAACAGCACATTAAGATCTTTAATATAACTGATTAAATGTTCAATTTTATAGTAGGCATGTTTCGCCGACTGGTACCGAATAAATCGACAATGAAAGGACGTGATGGGGGGGGGGGGTGTAGGTTGCATTACGTTTCAACCCCCGAATTCAGTGTTTCATCATTCAAAAAGCACGTGATCTCGCACTTGCACGCAGGTCACTCTGTTACAGGACAATCAAGGCGGCTGTTTTCACATAAATTACAGGTTTTCCGTCATCTTTCGTAATCTTTGTAATTTGGTTATTAATATTACTTTAAATGATTAAATAAATAATTATATTTATTATAGTTTATTGTCATATAAATAACACGTAGTCACTGTTGTTAGGATATTATTAATAATAATAATGATAATAATTATAATAATGATTAATATGGGTGTTTGTATTGTTGTTCTTATTGTCGTTCTGCTACTGTTACTGCAAAAAGAGGGAAACAAACAATTAAAATCCTAAACAATCAAGGAACAAAGACAGCGTGCGCTCTTTCCAGAACGTTGACAGCGGAACTTAGATTTCAGTGGGAACGGTGTTACTTGTTACGGCCAAACACGTTTCCACACTCGCACTTAAAGCACGGAGCTCAGACCCGATCGGTCCCTGACCTGAACTTCACCATATAATTCAATTTAGGATGATAAAGAAGCAAACTACAGCTCCCAGCAACGAGCCTCCAGCGCGGTGAGAAGCGACCTGGCATGTTAACCGCAATGACGAGCGACACGCACACACGCACGGACGCAGCACGACTCACTTTCACTCACCGGATCAGGCTCAAGTGCAGACCTACCTTCAGGAAAGACAAGTGAAGCGCCGCCAGAAACAGTTCCAGTATCAAATTCACAACTAAGTTCATGATTATTACTCCAAAGGCGAAGGTCGATCCGGCAAATCTGTCTCTGTCAAGCAATACAATTCGCGCTATATTGTAGGTTTCTCAAGGGGCGTTGAGGAATATCCGCAGCTACATAAACTCCATTTCGCCCCGCACCGGGAGAAGGGGTATCGTTGGAGAAAGTGTTTCACTTGCGTTCCTCCAACTGCTCCTTATACAGATCAAGTCGTCCAATAACGGGGAGGGGGGATCCGAACTGTGCGTCACTTTTTAATCCTCGTCAAAATCCTCTCCTCTTCAGAGCGCCGAAATCCGCATGACAGTAAAAATCCCACATTTCATGTATCAGTCCTTCTGGAGAAAGGCTGATCGTCAAGCAAAACTGGAGAGAGTGAGAGAGAGGAAAAAAAACTCAGACTCCTAAAGACAACTTTGAGCGGCGGAAAGGTAGCGGCAACGCGCAGACTTAAATTATCACAGCCGAGAAACCAAAACGAAACCACTTGTGAAATCGATAAAATCGTAATCGTTCGTCCGACTCTGCTGTAGGACATGCCAGCGATGGTCCCCGTTACCTGCACATAATTCCTCTATTGTGGCCCTTTCCCCTAACCGACAGTACACTGAACCGTGCCGTCTCCTCCAGCTCCACCTCGGATCTGCTGTAGGGTTAAATGTAGCCTCACACCCTGCAGCCGCGGGCGATCGCTGATTGGCCGGGTCCAAGGTGGGCCAGAGCGCGTCCGATGCCAGCGATGATGTCGCTTATTAAGCGCTCTCACGGACCCTAGTCTTCCCAGTGCCAGTTCCGGACCTTGACCCGAAACCGATAACCGTGCCGGGAACGTGTGAGATACCTCGGCGCGGTGCCTTTATCTGTACCGATCCAAAATTACGAGCTGTGTTATAAATAAAGTGCCACTTTTGCCCTGTGCATCTTCTCTGTGAAGTGTGGTTTAACTCCACGAAACTGCACCCTATACCCGTTTGCGTACGTGATCCTAAGCATACCTCCGCGTGACAGATGGAGAATTAGTGCTTCCGATCTGCACGGAATTCCAGACTTTCCTGCGGACCTCCTTAGACGGCAGAAGCCGGCGGGGCTCTGGGGGCTGTCGGGGAGCGCACAATGGCCAGCAATTCGCCGTTCTGTGTGAACGCAAAGGTGCGGCCGCAAGAGCAGCTTCCACCAACCAGGCAACTGCACTTGTCACGTAGGCACTGAGACTGGGGGCAAAACGAACTCGGGTCCTCAGCCGTATACTGGAATACCCGAGGACACCTGACGCTGACTAACGATGCGTGTAAAGCCAAGCCAATCGCGCACCTGATTCACTGCTTTTTTCCTCATCGTGTATGAATATGTACAATTTAGGCTAATGGAAATATATACGTGTATATATATCAAGAGCATGTAATGATGGGGGGGGTCTTTCCGATCATCATTTGCTGATGAAACCTTTTGTGTGGCTGTGCATTAACGTAATTTCGGTATGTCTTTTGTCTTTTTAAAGTAATACGGGTTCCTCATTCGACTGTAATCCGGTTAATGAAAAGCAAACAAACGACCGGGTGGAAATTAAGTACTTTAAAGGTTGAGAAGACAGTCTTGGAGAGGCGGATTTGGACCTGACTGAGGAACAGACAGCAACAAATCACATTGATATAACACAGACCGATCTCTTTAGTGCTTTAGAAACAATGCAGTCGTTTATCCTCAAGAACTTAAGTGCAACGTTTTCCTCTAGTGGTATTTTTCCCCAGTTATAAATGTAATAAATTATAAAACAGAGAATTTAATTCTGGCTGCACAACCTCGCAGACGCTGTCCTGATTGATGAACTTTGCCTTCAGTGGTTCTACGGCGGCCACTCGGTATGGGGAGATAAATCTGTCAGACACATGACGTGCCCTTTGAAGGGCTGACTGGCCACTTCACACACAGCTCCTCAGCCCGTCTCTTAATTTCAATGGTGTTTTTGAATGAAAATGATTTTTAAATTAATCAACATACCCTGTAATGAAACGGCAAGTGCAAGGTGGTACTGCTAGACGTGGGACGGCCGCACTCCCGCCCTATTACAAACCCTTTGCCTCCCCTACCCCCACCCCGGACCCGTCTCTCCCACATGGACCCTCCACTCAGCCGTGGGACAGGTCAGCACGCACTCTCATGGCCCCCCCGGCACTCTGCTCCGTTACCATGGTTTTCTCCAGACTGCCTTTTCTTCGTCTTTCCACCATGCGGAGACGCAGCCCGCTGCTTTGTGTGTGTGTGCGCCAATCTGACTGTGAATCTGACTGCCTGTGTTTCTTTGTGTGTGCGATTGTAACTTTTACTGCGTGAGCGTGCATCTCTCTGCATCTACGTGATTGTGTCTGTGTTTGTAAATTCTGTGTGTGGCGTGACTGCACATGACCGCGTGTAAGATACCGGTTTCAACCATGTCAGTAACTATTTTCACCCCCGAATGTATTTTGCTTTTAAAATATACGGCTCAGTGTGTTTCATAGTATACGCAGTGCTCAACTTCTTACTGCTTTTAAGTATCACTCTGACATTTCAGGGAAGTGATATCATTCTTTATTTACACGAATGGTCTGAGTATAATGCTCACAGCTCCACAAAGTCTAACGTCACGTGCGATGCTCCGGCTTTTAATCACGCGCAGCCTGGGGAGCCCGGGCAGACGTAAAATGAGTGTAATTTTTTTGGACCCTCAAGGGGGCGCTGCAAAGACACTTGTTGTCATTTGAAGAATTTTGAAGGAAAAGCCATAGTTGAAAATATAAGTAATATATTTAACACGATATGCATAATGTTTATATTATAGGTAATAGGCAATTTAAATTACTATATCCATAAGCGCAGAGGGTAGTGAAACTCCATTTTTAAGAGATATAACTTTGCTTCCGCTGTGAGTAGACATGCTGTACCCTCCTCAAGGCCTCTCGCTGGTTATCAGTAACTATTGCTAGGTGTCCTGCCTCTCTCTGTTGTGTCTTTCCCTGGATGAGTCTTGCCCAGTCAGTCTCATGTCTTTATATTTCTTTAGGTCTTTTTACATGCATTTTCCCCTGGAATCGGTTCACGTTTAATAAAAGTATTGTGTTTCCTGATTGTTAAAACAAATGACTGACTGACCAACCCAATAAAGACAGCCTTTATCTATCAGATACACCCATTAGTGGTCGACACTAGTCAGCAGTGTCTTAACTAGTGCTAACTATCTTTGAGACCTCATGCCAGACTAGCCTTGTGGTTTATCTGCAGACTAGCCTTGTGGTTCCTGCTCGGCCGTAAGGATGACTGGCTTGTTTGCTTCTGATGGATGTTTGATGCCTGCGGAACAACCCGTTCTGCCCCGTTCTATCCCTGGATTGCCTTTAAGACCTCTCACATGCTTCCTGGGGAAGGCCCTGGAGCTGGGAGGGCAGCGCATTCTGCTGGCAGATGACAGACTGGCTGATAGGGAAGGAGAAAAGGTCTCAGGGCCACGATGGTACCCCATGAAGGATCCTCCTCTCGCTTTGGGACATTGACTTAATTGAAGAATAACATAAAGTCTTGTCCTCCCGTCCGCTGATCTAAGCAATGTTTCAGTTGCCGAGAGGCTGAGGGTTATTGAGCTTATACGGTGCAATGTCAGTCTCCTGCCCCCCCCCTCCCCCCCACCCCCACACACACACTCAAACACGACATTTATGCAGTACGCACGCAAGCACCCATGCACTCCCCCGCATTTGCAAAATCATGTGGAATCTTCACTTTTACGCAGCTGTGATTTTTCCCCAGAAAGAGTCACCTGAAATTCTATGTGAGGCATGTTTCACTGTAAGCATGGACATGTTTGCTGGCTCTGATTAACTGGGAAGTGCAGTGACTCCCAACGGATTTTCTTGGACCTGGAGCATGGATTTGTCAGTCATCCTTCAGCTTAAATGAATTTGGGTACGAAGAATGTTGGGTGTTTATTTTCTCAGAATTGTTTGGGGGTGGCCTCAAAAAACAGGAGACTCCAGATACGCACTGACTCCCACCTATCCCACCTCGAACCAGCTGACCCATGCTTACACTGTGGAAATCAGAACAGGGACATTTCCCATGTTTTCATTGGTCACCTGACCGTGCCCTTCTCATGCTCAGCCAATCAGCTCGTTGCATTCACAGCCATGCTGATGGGTGGCTCGTCCTTCATGTGGACAGTTACATTCCCAGCCTGACCGCAGGCACCGTGCCAGATCCCACAGCTGCTCTGGAACCTTCCACATCACTCTGCTCCATAAAGCTCTCAGCACCTCCATCTCATCGATGACATAGTGATGGTCCACTCTGCTGCGTGTTGATCTGACCATTCTCTCCACTATCACTGATTCCCACCGTGACCGCAGAGCCAACATGGGTGAGTCCCAGTATCCCTACGTCCCACCCAGGTGAACTCATTAGCCTTCTGACTGACTCCAAGCGGTGATTCACACTTGATTGTTGAGTGTTAGCTACAGTAATCCCAGGAAAATGATCTCAGTCTATACCAGTTCTAAGAAGTGGCAATAATCCCTCTATTATCTCAAATTTTAAAAAAAATCTAGAATTAAGGGGTATTATTGTGTCATTAAGCTCATGACACCAGGTGGTTAACGGGAACCCCCGCCTCCCCTTTTTGGAGTAATGAGGGTAAATGATCTGGCGTTGTTTTCTTGCTAATTTCCATCACGCAGAACCAAACTTGACATTTTGACACTGCTGGGAAGCAGAGGAGGACCTTCAGGTGCCTTCCTGCATGCTACAGCAGAAATAAAGTTGACAGATGATGCAGGGAGGACTCAGCCTGCAACCAAAGGCTACAGGTTAAAGGTTTATAGGTGCAGGTCACACCTGAACTTACTGAGATAAGAGCGCAGCCTTCGATTTAGGATTCCTATCACGTTTCAGCTCTCTAGACGTGCAGTTTGCCGTCGTGTAGGTAGCGTGCTCCTCTGAGCCTCCTCTGAGCCTCCTCTGAGCCTCCTCTGAGGCACCTGGCAATCTCTTGTGCTGTAGTATCAACATCCACACTCTACCTGACCTTATCGTGCCTTTTCCAGACTCTTCTGTACACTGAATCCATGATAAAGGCATCACCAGGAATATCAACGGTAACTTCTGGGAGAACTTCATACACACTAAATGATTAAATCAGTTCCTCTTGGTCTTTTAGGTCTCTTTCCAGCAATATCCTTTTTAAAATTGTTTTATGGTCCTGGATATAATTGCCTCTTTTTTATGGTAAGTGCCTCTTTTTTATGGTACAACAGTAGGTCCCCTGGGATCGGGATTTGACTGCAGTGCTTAAGGGGCCTCCTGGGTTGCTGGGTCAGACCATGGCACCAGGAGATACCATCTTTTTTTTTTTTTGCGTCATTCACCATTTGTGCCTGGGAACTTGACAGCCAGGGACATTGTCCGTCTGGAGTCCATCCAATCGGCGCTCAGCAGTCCCGCAGCGCTAGCAGGGAGCGGAGCCACAACGGGCGTGAATCGGAAGAGCCTGCGTCAGCTGCAATCCGATACCCGACAGGCGGAGCCTGAACTGGATCAGGCTAACTTAGGAGAGGAAATGGGGAGGGAGGGGGGTCTCGCTTTCAAAGAAGGCTGGTGGGAAACTCGGAGGCAGACAAAGAAGAGGGAGGAAGAGATCGTAGCTGATGTGAGTGACAGCAAAGGGGAGGCAGCTATGAAATTCCACAGATCATTACAGGAGAAACTCTGAGACGACTCAGAAGCTGTGCGGCAGCCCCCCCCCCCCCCACACTTGTAAGTGAAGCGGCTTTGATGTCAGGGGTCTGAGAGGGCAGGAGAGGCGGGCCCCGACAATGGGGCGGGGGGGTAAGAGAGAGAGACAGAGGTTGGGGTGAGGGTAACAGACTTTGCCTCAGGTCCACTTCTGGTAATCAGCAGAG